GAGAGAGAGAGAGACAGAGAGAGAGAGAAAAGATTTCTCTACCTGTATGTTGGTTTCCAAAGGTAGTAATGTAATGTTCTTACCAATGTAATCAACTTCCTCCCTGAAGGTGCTACCCTGTGCGTCATCTGCCAAGACAGAAGCTCCTTACGTCAAACAATTGTTCGCTTAGAGTTAGAGGATGAGTGGCAGTTCCGCCTCCGGGATGAGTTTCAAACTGCTAACAGCAGTGATGACAAGCCTCTCTACTTTCTTACTGGACGCCATGTTTGAGTTTTTGAAGAAACCAAAACCAACAAACAGACCCCTAAGGGGGTGGGACAATTATTGGGGATTTTTTTTCCTTTAAAGTACAATCACTGTGGAGCAAAGTGCAACATATTTATCTCTTCTCCAAAGAGCTCCCCAAATGTGACCAAGGTCTTTGGGGGCACTGTCCTTTCAGTTCTGCTGACAGGACTCTGGCTCAGGTCAATGCTACAGTGGGCAGTTATGCAGCTACTTAGGGTGTGCTCTGCTTGTGGGAGCCCAAGGATATATTCTGGAGAACAAATGTGGAGTCTGCATTGTTTTCTTTTTTTTTTTAAACCATACTATGTTGAGGGCAAGAGACTGTCAGCATTAGCCAGCTTGAATGTGTTACATGAGACTCACACCACTGGTGTGGAATGAACTGAAGATTAACACTTGAGGCCTGAACCCTCAGTTTCTCTTCAGATCTGTACTTTGGTACAGTATTACTCAGGGGTCTGAAATGATAGAATGTAGAAGATATTTGTATTTAAAAAGAAGTAGCTTGTCTTTCTCCGTGCAGTGTTAGTTTAAGATATAATCTTTTATGTATTGAAACCTTTGGCAAAATTTCCACAGAAGTTAAAAGTTTACTATTTAAACTGAACAAAAAATCAGTAAATGCAGAACAGGCACTGTGTGCATCTATGAAGGTTCTCTGAGCTTAACTCTTTTGCTTTTCCAATTTCTAGTTTTAAGCACACTATGTCTATGAAAACATAGACAGTGATGTATTCTTCAGTTATCCCGGACCACTGTGTTGATTCAAAGTAAGCAGTTGGCACCTGGAAACCCACATAGCACGCTAGGATTCTATTGTGGAGTCTACCTAGCTGGTTTCATTGGCTCAGGCTTAGCATCCGTTAAACACTCAGTGAGTAACAGCTGTGGTGCACTGACAGATAAAAATGAGTGGAACCATAGACAAGTTTTCCTTATAATTTTATCAGTGACATTTTCCCTGAGTAAAGAAGACTCCATGAAGAGTCTTTTGGACTCACTAAAGTTATCAGGTAGTGTATGACTAATACCAACAACAGTAGGAGGCATAAGTTTCTATGTATTTGTAACCAAATATTTTAATCAGAAACATTTTGAGAAAATATTCTACAATTACCGATCTACTGGGAGTTTACACTGAAACCGTGTAGTTTGTGGTCTCTTCAGAGTCTTCCCAGCTCATGTGGATGAGTTTATCTCCAGTTAGGATTGTCACTTTTACTTGACTCTGTCGTAGGACCTAAGACTACTGAGAGTCCTACTGAGCCGACGTTACTGCACGTGTTAGATGATGGACTTGGTTATCCAGGGATAACAAGGACTTTACAGCTAGTCAGAAGATGGAATGTCTTAGATGGACATGGTTTGCAGATCTCTTGGTTTTAATATAGCTACTTATGATGTTTTAAATGTATTTTAAATGGATAATTCCTTTTAATCCCACTTTTAATTGTCCTTCACAGAGGACTTTGCCTTATTATATGCTTACTTAGCTTTAGTACAGCAGAATTTCAGCAAAGAGGTACGTTCTAGGGAAGTCTGAATTAGATATCAATGTATCTAACTCGTTCCTGCTTTGCTGAAAGGATCCAATGCAGGTAAAATCAAGAAAGCCACTGTTTGTGCAATATTCCAATAACACTATGTAAGGTGAATAAAATACTTGAAATAATTTCACAACAATTTTATGAAGGGCAGAGGCCTCTTAGAAGTTCTTACTGGTTTATTCTTTTTGGACTAAGTTACTTTAATGCAAGTACTCCATGTTAGTTAGGGCTACAATCTAGAAATCCAAGTGATCATGAACTGTAAATACTATTCAACTCTGTTCAAGAGAAATGTCAGAATAAAACCAAAAGGCCATCACTCCAATAGTTGAGAAAGCTCAATTTACCTGCCTCTTTGTCTGCAAAGCCTAACTTCATTAAGGTTTGGATCTTTTAAAATTACCTACATCAGTATAATGTTTTAGAGAAAATACTAGGTCCTCTTCAAGAATGAAATTGCACAAGCCCAGGCCACCGTGATTTGCTAATTCCTGTCTTGGTGTGTTTGATCTTACCTTTTTCCATCCCCGAGGACACTGAAGTAGGGCAAATGGATTCACTAAGACATTGAGGTAGGGTAAACCTGGTAACTTACCTGCAGACCTGCTTGGCATGCGTGATAGTTCACAGAGGTTAATACTGAATGTAAACTGAAACTTAGAAATGCTGTAGTCGAGTTTTGGCTGTAATTCATACAACTGCTTCATGTGATTGTTAGAAAGGGGGCATCTGTGTTACTGTTACTGTAAAACTTTCTTAACCAAAACGTGGTGAATTTCACTCGCTAGTCAGTCTACCTCACATTTTGTTTATGACTCTAAGCTGTCTTAAGTTGTGTCTACAGTATGTTCTTGTCCTTTGATTTGGCAAATGTATTAAAATTCCCTCTCACTCCTCAGCTACGAAAAAAAGTTTGTCTTCTTTAAACCACTTTTTCCAAATGTTAAAAGGTAAAATGAATTCCATAACTGCCAATGTCCAAGAAAAGTCTGGAAGTTCTGTTATCATGCCTTCTATGGCTTTAAAATTCTACTATTTTAGCACAATCCAAAAATAAAGACTAAGTAAATAGCTGAATATAAATAAGCTGAATATAGCTTGCCCAAAGCAGCTATATCTACCAAAACTCCACTAGAAAAACTGTAACCGCTACACAATTACAGATAACAGACATATGTAGAAAGCAACTGTGCTTACTTTGGTGAATTCTCAATTAGGGGTTTTATTAGTAATCTTGGTCTTTTTCTAAATTCCATCTACTCTTACCTACTCTTAGAAAAAAGTTTTTCAGTTCTAATATGTAAACAGCATTTATAATAACAGAATTTGAAACAAAACCACTCATCTAGGCCAAAGACCATCAATAAGAGCAGCAATAAATATTTTCAAGTGTAGTGACAGGCAGAGGGGAAGCAGGCTTCTATATCTGCCAAAGTAACTGCCCTGGGAAGTCTAACAACATGCCAACTGCTGAGTTTCTGAGGCTGTTTCCTTGGAAGCAATGAGAAAGAGGTACTATTGTAGTAACTGACTCAGCAACATTAACCCTCAGTAAACGGACGCTGTCTCCATGTAACTGGGCAGCCAGGCCAGGCAATAAGAACCAATGCACTTCACAGTGGCTCTGAACTCATGGTCAAGCTCTTGGTAAATGTACTGAGTTCACAACACATTATCAAGTGTGATCAAGTCTTGCTTGAGAAATCATCCACACAAGTAAGGGCAAAATCCATCAAAACACACGGTTCCTATAATAATGCTTGATCCTTTCAGAAAGGAGGGACAACTATCTGAGGGCCAATATGCAGCAATTATACAAATTTCCTCTGAAGTCTATGGCCACTGCCTCTAACAGTCCACAGATGCTGCTCTTTTTCTAGCACCATGGAGACTCCCTTCTCAACTGTGTTCTGAGAGTGGTGATCCCTCTTTAGTTTCTAAGGCTGTTTCCTTGGTTTTTCATCACTCTTCGAGGACTCTCTTTTCCTTGCTTATGCCACTGCAAGTAGTCTCAAATACTGGTGTTTCTCACAGATCTCTAGTATTCCTTTTACTATCCCAGGATGATCATCTCATTTAAACCATCAAGTAACAGCATAAGTCGAAACCGCTCTCAAACTCTAGCTCCACATATACAACTGGGAAGGTGTTAACTCCACTTGGAAGTCTGTAACCACCTTAAACCTTGACCAGAACTGAACCTGCCCTTCCCCACCAAATCCTCCCAATCCATACCCTAATTTTCACTGTTAGTTTTCAACTTGTCTACTGAAAGGCAAATGGCAACTCCTGCTTATCCCCAACACTTCACTTTGCCATGAAGCACGTCTGTAGTTAGAAACACCCATCTCTTCACCTCCATCCCTATATTAAGAGTTTAGAGTTCGGTGTTTCAATATTTTTTACAGGCTGCCCGTATAGTCCTTTTAGAATCCAAAGTCTCTTCTTTTAAACCCTATTGTGGGCTGGAGAGATGGCTCAGTGGTTAAGAGCACTGGCTGCTCTTCCAGAGGACCCAGGTTCAATCCTCAGCATTCACATGGCAGCTCACAACTGTCTGTAACTGTACTTCCAGGGGATCTGGTACCCTCATACATGCAGGGAAAACATTAATGAACATAAAAAAAAATTAGTAAATCTTGGGGGGGGAGAGAGAGAGAGAGAGAGGGAGAGAGAGGGAGAGAGAGAGAGACCTTTTTTATTGGGTTTTCATGATGCAACCCTAAACACGGGTCTGACACCCTCAAATGGTACTATTCTTAGAGAAACACCTAGACTGTCAAATTTGAGGGGTTGAGTTATTACTATTATTGTTGTTGTTGTTGTTACTACTAATGTGAAAAGTATCTCTAATTTTCCTTCCCAGTAATAACAACACTTAAAGCCACCAATCAGTAATTATCCTGCTCTGCCTTTAAGTCTTTGTCAAGCACGGCCTGCTAATCCAAGTAGTGTTAGAGCTCACATGGAAATGGGACCTGTGTTAATGAAGTTAACAGGACCAGAGAACTAACACTATCCAAAAGTTTCACCATGCTTACATCAATGTACTTATCAGGCAAAGAAGGAGGGAAGATGGCTAGAACAGTCTACTCGTGGAGGTTTACATACAAATAAATTTAAAAGAAAGAAAGATAGAAAATATAGAAGTAATAGCTGCACAGGCCTTTAATCCCAGCATTCGGGAGGCAGAAGCTACCAGATCTCTTGTGATCACAGCCAGCCAGGGATACAGCAAAATCCTGTCTCAGAAACAGAAAGATAATGAGATGACTGAGGTGATGAGGATGAGTGGAGCTAGAAGGAGGAAGCACCTCTTGCTTTTGCACAAGTCCGGAGTTCAGTCCCCTGCCCCTATGGGGGATGGGGAAGCAGCTCACAACCATCTTGTAAATCTACTTCCAGAAAATCCAATGCCAGGGCACCAGGCAGGCATGTGGTACACATATATACATAGAGACACTCACACATTCAATAAAATCAAATGTAAAATCTTTAGAAAAAGAAAAGCTGGATCACTGTTTTTGAGACAGAAGGAAAATAATTATACCCTCCACCATTCTACTCATGTCAAGAGTACAGTGTGACACCACTCCATAGATAATAAAAGAGCAAACCTACAGGGGGATAAATGTACACCTGACTTTGCTCACATTAATCATAATGTGAGTCCCTAAATTTTTATAAGTTTTCAGTGGCAATATGATCGTTCCAGCCCATAAAGATGATCTAACTGAAACCACAGTGGTGCTTCACTCTTGTGCTGTGGTTCTTTTAAAGTTAATATTAAAATATTCAGAAAGAATTTGCAAGCTAGTGAGAACTACCTTTAAGAAGCCTGTATTTTAATTATATTTCAGTCTCAAACCTAAGAAACTCCCTGGAAAGATACAAACATTCAACACAACATTGTATCAGGTACATTTATCACTTAGAAAAAGCTATCAAGAATTTTATTATTTTATTCTACATTATATACAGGTCATAAAAGGCCACAGCAGTTTTTCAACATATAACCCTTTAAAAGTAGAGGGCACTATAAAGGACAGACAAGTATCAAGATGAAGTCCAATAATGAGGGCGTATACTCAGTGCAGTATTTCTGAGGAATAACAATGCAGATACCAAGCCATCCACATTTAGTTTACAATTATTCTAGTTCTTTGTGACACTAGTCCTCTATGGCTCCACATGAGAGAGAGCTTCCCTGCACCATCAGTGCCAGAAACATAAGCAATGGAGACACTTGCTGTTATACAAGTTCTTTCACTTGGAGCTCTCCTTTTCTGTGGGGTCTCCTTAGAGAATACTTGAGTAACTTCAAATTCTTAAGTGTGTAATACTGTACTCTCTTTGAAAAGGAACTCAAAAGCATTGGTTTTCACTTTGAAAATACAATCTTTAAACCTATAACTGGTATCGGCAGATCAATATAAAAAAATACAGTACCAAGCTACACTGGTATATCTCCATATTAAGAACTTCAAAATATACTTATCACTGAGATCATAGTCCTTGCATTAATTTTCAGTCCACTATGAACAATTATCTGCTGCATGTAAACATGTCTAAATAACTATAGATAAAATACAATCATAAATTTCTGTAAAAGATAATAAAATATCTTCTTTAAAAAAACAAAACAATAATAAGCTGTTACTGCAATGTTTCCAATTTTATGAAAATGGAACAACCATATGGTTGTTGCCAGTCCTGAGTTCATTTGTAAAAAAAATGGCCCTAGTTCCTGGATAAAGTCAGCAACCAATTCTTTCTCTTCAAAAGATGTCTTCTGGCACAGTAAGCAAGATCTGTATTAGGTGGTATTCTGTCCATTGATAAAATTATAGACCAGAAACTGACCAGTGCCACAGTACTGTGTTGCAAACAGCTTTCCGTCAGGAGTGGGATCTGAGAAAGCAATTTCTTCTTTACTCAAATATGAGCCATAAATAAAGTTACTCCTATTAAAAAAAGGGGGGGGGAGAAAATAGGTAAGATTGAAAAATTAATCTTTATTCACTGAAACTGAACAACCCATCAAATTCATTTAGACAAGGAAGACGCAGTGCTATGTTATTCTAAAAAATAAAACACCTGTTCATCTAAAATATTATAGTTTGAAGTAGTAAGATTTTTACAAAAGCAATAATTATAAAACATTTTCCCAACATCTTGTCATAAAGTACTCAACAACTAAGAGGATGAAGAACTTCTCACTCAATCCAGGTATGGCAATGAAAGACTAAACTGCTTCTGTTTCTCAGAGATCAGGAAAAGGTAAGTCTGTCCTCGCCCCCTTCAATAGCATCACTGATAGTTCATAAACAGGAAAAGAAATAAGGGTCCTGACTGAACAGAAGAACAACTTGTTCTCTGGCAGAAGATGTGATCTAGTATATAGGAAATCCTGAGGGCTTTACCAAAGGCCTATTAAGATTTAGTAAATTATTTCAAAAGTTACAGTCCAGATTGATATTCAGGATGAACTGTATTAGCTATCTATGTATTAGCTGTATTCCTGAAATTAGTAATCCAAACACCAAGAAAAAAACAACCCTATAACACCAAGTTGAGTATAATGCTTAGAATAATTACCAAAAGAGTTGTAAGCTAAAAACTATAAAATATTGTCTAAATAAAAACCTAATAAGGATGCCCCATGTTTAAAAATCAGAAGACTCAGTACAGTTAAGATGTTATTACTGTACACACTGACCCATAGCTGTCTTCCTTGGAGGAACTGACAAGCTGATCTTATAATTCACAAAGAAAACTTTTAATTTTTTTAAGAAAAAAAAGAACAAACCAAAGGACTATTTCCAAATATGCCACATAAAACTACAACCTTCCAGATGTGTAATACTGACATAAGCAGAGATACACAGAACACAGAACAAT